TTAGGTTCCCCTGTCACATAGGGAGACTGATACCTGGGGCCCAGCCCCTACCAGGCTACATACAACCTTTCCTCCACTTCTGTTTCTCCTTCCTTTCCTCCTTGTCTCTATCCCAGCCCAAGACTCTCAAGCACTCTTCCATGGAGATTTCTGAATTTGGACCTCCTGTCAACAGACTCTGTGACATCCTTCACCTGCTTCCCCTACCCCCACTGCTCATTTTGTCCTGTAGGAGGGATAAGCCTAGTCCTCAGGCCTCTTGGGAATCTTCAGACCACTGTCACTGAAGATCAACAGCAGGAGGGCTTTGGAGAAGAGAAGAGACAGATTCTTTGTCCTAGGGATGGAGGGAGGAGCACAATGATTTGCTTGCAGCTGCAGCAGCCTCTCTGGGCTTCCTTATTTGCTTGTTCATTTTTAATCCACACTACTTTCTTCCAGTGACAACCTACCAGTTACTATCCAGAGCCAGGACAATTGCTCCAGTTCATGTCCTAGCAAGAAGCTCTGGATTTCATTGGAAAATCAGTACCACGAGGAGACTACCTCACCTCCCATCACCATCCACTCCAACCTCTGACCATTCATCAAGCTGCTTACCAAGCTAGGATTGGCCTTCCCAGGTCAGAATCAATGGCTCAGCCTGAGACTAGAATGATCACCTGCCCCACCACTTACAGGCTCCCCGTAAATATGATCATAACATTAACATTTAATAATGTTAAATTATAAAATAATGTTAAATAATAAACATTTCACATGTATATCTAGGGAGCTCTGGTAGTGTAGTGCCTAAGGCACTTGACTGGTAACCAGAAGGCTGGAGATTCAAACCCACCAGCCACTCCTGGGAAGGAAGATGGGGCACTCTATTTCCATAGTGATACTGCCTCGGAAACCCAAGGAGGGGTCACTATGAGTCGGATCTAACTCAACGGCACATAACAACAACAACAACAACATGTATATTTAAGTTATTCCTCATAACACAACGAATAGGTCCTGTTATTATCCAATTTGACTGATAAAGAAAGTGAGGTACAGAGAGGTTAAGTAAATCGCTTAAGGTCACACAGCCAGTCTGAACTGCTAACCATGTACCATGCCAGCAACACAAGCCGGGATGTGCTTAGGACCACGGTGTAGCACACACAGGACTGCCACAGGCTTTCAAATGGCAGAGAAGACAGTAGGGGCCAAGGCAGTGAGGGAAGTTTGCATGAAAAGATACAAGGAAGTATGGCTAGATATGATATGTCTAAGTATGTAAATGTGATTTGTCTCAAGTTCAGACTCCAGTCTTCTGTGGAGCCCTGGCTGTCTGCTCATTTGTGCCAACCACTGATCTTTCTCCTTTCTAGGCCCCTCCACCTATTTTACTTGCATCCTGAATCAACACTGTATGTGGCTCTGAAAGAGGTCATAAGGCAAAGGGCAACAGAACCAGTGTTCATTTTTACACTCATTCATTCCTTTATACATTCATGACTCCTGCTTATTCATCCAATGAGTATTCATCCAACATCTACAGAACCAGGCCCTGTGTTCAGCCCATGGACACAGAGGTGAACCAGGCCATGTTCCTGCCCTTAAGGAGCCACAGTAGAAGAGGAGACTGACTTGAAAGCCAAGAATTCCATGACAGAACAGAGTAGAAGAGGAGACTGACTTGAAAGCCAAGAATTCCATGACAGAACAGAAAGACTTGCATACAGTCAGCATACAGTCCTGCTTTGTTTCCACACACACCATGCTTCATTGTTATTGTTTTTGTTTTGTTTAAAATTACTTGGCTACTTTTATAAACAGGAGTTTTTACATAAAATTTCAGATTTCCTTCACCTTTGGGGGATCAGTACACACTTCCCCACATGGCAACACCTGACTGAGTATTGGCTGTCCCTTCAAGTTATGAATATTCCCATTTACCACAGTCTCCACATTTCCTGGTGTCTCACTAACACTGAGACCCCCACATCAGTTGCCATGGGTCACTCTACTGTTGACATTCTTACACCCAACCTGTTTCACCCATTTACTCATCATTCCACCCATCTAAATCTTCCTTGTTCCTGCAAGCATTTGTGTCTCAGATATTTGGTCCAGGACAGCAGAGGGCACTGTGGAAACACACAGGAGAGGTAAGACACCCAAGACACCTGCAGGATTGCCTAAAACAAGAGGTTTCTCAACCTTGTGAGAAAGAAAGAAATGATCTGCTGCTTGCTGTTGTCCCTGCTTCCTCCATTAGCTTAAACAATGGAGAGTACCCTCTGTTAGGGAATGGAGCTAATGTTTGGTACATAGAGGCATAATCTTACTTCCTAGTCTTCCTAATCCCCCATGTGATTCATTCATCAAGTTTGCCCAGCATGTAACGTCAGTTCTTGGCACATAGTAAGTGCTCAACCAGTATTTCTGGGATGAATGCATAAAAAATACAACTAATAATAAAAGCTATTATTTACTGAGCTCTTCCCAGGGGTCAGGCACTGTTTTAAACATTTCATATGTATATCTAAGTTATTCCTCATAACACAATGAATAGATCCTGTTATTATCCAATTTGACTGATAAAGAAAGTGAAGTACAGAGAGGTTAAGTAAATTGCTTAAGGTCACACAGCCAGTCTGAACTGCTAACCATGTACCATGCCAGCAACACAAGCCGAGATGTGCTTAGGACCACGGTGTAGCACACACAGGACTGCCACAGGCTTTCAAATGGCAGAGAAGTCAATAGGGGCCAAGGCAGTGAGGGAAGTTTGCATGAAAAGATACAAGGAAGTATGGCTAGGGGTAATAGAGAAGTATCTCTTCTCTGCTGGAGAAGAGATGGGGGGGAGGGGAACAAGATCAAGAAGGCAACGGAAGATGCCCACAATAGGTCCTCCATACACACTTTCTTAGGTGAGGGGTAGGGTGCCAGCAAAGATGTGCGATCATCCAGCAAACATGAATGTCTTCCATGTGCCATGCCCTGGGCTATGTGCTGGGGGGACACAAACATTAATAAGACTCTCCCTACAGAGTCCCTGAGTGGTGCAAATGGTTAGCACACTCAACTACTAACCAAAACATTGGAGGTTTGCATCCATTCAGAGGCACCTCAGAAGAAAGGCCTGAGCCTCACTTCCAAAAAATCAGCTATTAAAAATCCTGTGGAGCACTGTTCTGCTCTGACACACATGGGGTCACCACGAGCTGGAGTCAACTCAAGGGTAACTGATAGATGCTGATGATTGAGGGTCTACAGGCAATTGCTAGACATAGGCAAGATATATCAACAACTTTACTCCAGGAAAGGAAATGCTGAGAGCCAGAAATGGTATGGGGGGTGGGGGGATTTCAGAGAATGCAGAGGAGAAAAATATGGTTACCAATTGGGAAAACCAGAGCAAGCTTCCTCAGCAAGGAAGCCAGAAGAGATGGGTCAAATTTCACCCTGTGGAGTGTGAAAGGGCCCTGGTGGTGACAAGGCAGGAAGTGGGTACTGTGTGCCCATAGTGGGGGCTGAGAGAAGCTGGCCAGGAAGGGGCTGGCCCATTCCTGAAGGGCTGTGTGAGCTGGTCTAAGCCATCTCAGCCTTCTCCAATGGGCAATGGGGAGCCAATGAGGATTTGCATCAGGAAAAGGAATTGTCTTGCCCACCATGAGGTTGTAAATTCTTTGAAGGCATGGACTCCACACTGAGAACAGGATTTAGAAGAGTAATGCTGATAGACACTAGAAATATATTCAGAAACATATTCACCTTGACAATCTCTTGCTCAGTCTGCAAGCAAACAAACAAACCAAACTCACTGCCTCAAATCAATTCAACTCATAGTGACCCCTCCTTGGGGTATCCGAGGTGGTATCTCTATGGAAGTTGATCGCCCAGTCTTCCAGTCTGCAAGAGGGTGGTGTGAACAGAATCCAGGAACCTGGATATCTGGGCCCAGTTCCTGCTATGTCTCCAACCAGCTATGTGACCTTGAGCAGGTCCCTCTCTGGGTGTCAGTTTCCTTATCTTCGAAGAAGGGGGATGAGCCCTCTGAGGGTCCGTCTGACACCCTAGGAATCTAAGAACCCCAGTCAACCTATCACCCTCCTACGAGCACTCATCATAGTGCCAAGCAAACAGCAGGGAAGGCTCAGTCCATACTTGCTGGGCTGAATGTCATGGCCAGGCTGGCCACATGGACTGTAGAGAAGGTCGGGGACCCCATTAGTCCTCAGTCCACCAGCTACTGGCTATCACAGGTGGGATGGTACCCCACACCCTCAGCAAAGCAGGGGGAGGGGCAGAATGAGGGGTGGCTAGAGAAGAAGGATGCTTGCTTACTGGCTTGCTTCAAGATACTAAGGGGCCAAGATGGAAGGGAAGTGAACTAACCACCCAGCTTCCTCTCAAACCAGCTCTAGGCCCAGGACTGGGAATTTCACAAAAAGGCAAAAGTAGCTATGTGAACACTTCCTGTTCCACCCCAACCCTCAATCTGCCTTCCTGGCAGTGACAGCCCAGCTCAGGGTTACCACACTGCTCACCTGTGAAGCAATCATCCCCAAAAGAGGGATTGAGTATCCTGGCTGGAGGCTGCCTATAAATGCTGGGCCCGCTGCAGTCCATCAAACTCCTGTGTGACTCCTCGGCGTGGTAAGTGAGCTGCCAAAGGGCCTGAGCCTGCTGCCAATTCTTTCTTTTCTCCCCATCCCAGCTTCCTCTCAATCTCTCCTTAGATTGACCACCCCCATTTTAAAGTTCACTTCACATTTTTTCACACCATGTTCTGCTAGAGTCTCCTGGCCTCAAAAATACTTTGCTTTTTGGCATTCCCCACATATTCTAAAAATCATTTTTCACTTGCGTGCACCAGGGTCATCTCCCAGTTAAGTTGCAACCTGTGTTTTTGTGTGCATTCAAGTGTGTGTTCTCTTCTTTCCTGAGAGCAGCCAGTGTGGGAGGCGCCAAGGAAACTGACAGCCTTTTCTCCTAAGAACCTCAGAGAGAAGATAGAAATGTCGCAGCTGGAATGCAACATAGAGACCATCATCAATATCTTCCACCAGTATTCGGTCCGGCTGGGGCACCCAGACACTCTGAACCAGAGAGAATTCAAACAGCTGGTGAAAAAAGAGCTGGCAAATTTCCTCAAGGTAGGGCTGAACTCTTGGCAGTCCTGGACCAGCCTCAAGGCAGTTCAGGCTGAAAAAGTGAGGCAGGGGGTGCAGAGTATGGTGGTCATGGAGAAACTTGTAGCTCCTTCAACTTATCCTCCAGATATAGTGAATGCCCTGTCATTAGAGAGCTGCATCCACAGAGGCAAGGAAGACAGATTGCACATCTGTTATGTGTCTGGCCCTGTTCTGGGCATGGAGACATAGTGGTAAACAGGATATAGGCCCTGCCCTCAAGGAGCCCACTATCCCAATGTGGGGAGACACACAACAAAGGTGTTGACAATCTATAACAAAGATAAACCTTGAAGAAAATGTTGTTGTTATGTTGTTATGTGCCGTCGAGTCGGACCCGACTCATAGCAACCCTTCCTTGGGTTTCCGAGGCAGTATCACTATGAAAGTAGATTGCCCCATCTTCCTTCCGAGGAGTGGCTGGTGGGTTTGAACCGCCAGCCTTCTGGTTAGCAGTCAAGTGTCTTAGCCACTATGCTACAATATTGCAGTTGATTTTCATTGGATGAGATAGAGGTGGCTTAGTTAGAGTAGACAAGTAAGGCCTCTTAGACCATGTGACATATGAGCTAAGACCTGAATGTTGAGAAAGGGGACAACCCAGGATGACTCTTGGCAGGAAGGTGAGGAGATTCCAAGCTTCAGATGGAAACTTGGAAGAGAAGACATGTGAGGGTTTTTCTAATCTTAAAAGCCTATAATCAATAACAATAGCATTTGAGAAAGCTGCCAGCGCAGAGATGCCCTCAAAATGATTTGACTCTTCCAGAAGACTGAGGAATTAGCTCAGCTAGTCTTTTGATTTTCTTTTCATCTTATGAATTTAGGAAAAACAAAAGCCTGGGCCAAGAGAAATGAGACACCGGGGTCCTAGTTTAATGACCATTTCTGGAGGAGGAGGTCCTAGGTTAGGTCACCAGCCCTCTCTGGTTCCCTCCCCACTTTGGTGAGGTGGAGAATCGTAGTAATAAGAGGTGTTAGAGAAAAGAGAAGGCACAGCCAGGGGACCATGTGACCCTTGGACTTGCTGGACAAGGTTCTCCTGTGTATGACCCCACACTTGCTCCCCCACCCGACTCCCACTCCTGCAGAAGCAAAGTGATAGGCCAGGAAGAGAAGTGGGGACTCAAGGATGAGCTGATTAGGTATGAGTGTTCTGACCAGGCAATGACAAAAGTCCAAAAAAGTCCAAAACATTGAAGCACTGCCGTTGCAGGAGGAAGCCTGACAGATCAGCCAGGCATCCCTGCAGCTTATGGGTGAGGGGACTAGGCCCAGAGAGGACAAGGGACTTACCTGAGGTACCCAAGCCAGTGGATAGCAGAGTTAAAACTAGAATCTGGTTCTGATGCCGCTTCTTTCCTACTACACCTGGATCACTTCACTTCACCTCCCATCTCCCTTTGTGTACTGTATTACACCCTTTAGGGTCAGCAAAGTATCCACACTGCCATCTGTTCCCACGCAAAATCCCCTACCATTTTGTTTCCCAAGGTGTTTCTGTACTATGTAGATTGAAAAGAATTTCACTAATTAGTTACTTAAAGGGAGGGGAAAGGAAAGAAAAAAAGGAGAAGAGTGGAGACATGGGACAAGCCTGGGCTGTGGAGTCAGATCTGAGTTTCAATTTCACTCTTCTTCTCCCAAGCTTTGTCAATCTGAAAAATTAGAGAAAGCTTAAATCTTCCTCAAAGAAGATACAAATTCTAGCTATTAAAGTTATTGTAAGAACCCAACGAGATATCCTTTGTATCATGTGAACTTGGACAAATCATTAGACTTCAGTTTCCTCTTCTATAAATGGAAAGAACAATATCTAAGTTGTAGGGTTGTATGGGGAATAAACAGGAAGTGTCTAGCACATGCTTAGTATCTGCAATACCGTGGGCACTCAGTCCACATTTTTAATATTTAAATTGAGCCCCAGGGAACAGGTTTCCTTGTGCATTTGTCATTTATCATTTATTGTGTGCTCCGGTCCCCACCCTGGCCACATCCTGCCCTAATTGTCCTCTCTGACCCATCCTCAGAAGCAGAAGAGGGATGACAAAGCCATCAATCATATCCTGGAGGATCTAGACACCAATGGGGACAAGCAGCTGAACTTCGAGGAGTTCGTCATTCTAGTGGGGCGGCTGACCCATGCCTCCCATGAGGAGATGCACAAGAATGCCCACGGAGAAGGCCACAGCCATGGGCCTGGCCTTGGTGAGAGTGGCCAAGGCCACGGCCATGGCCACGGCCACAGCCATGGTGGCCATGGCCATGGCCACAGCCACTAAGCAGGAGGCCAGACACCCTTCCCTGGAACTGGCCAGGCACTCTTCCCTGTGACCAGCCAGGGTTCTGCATTATGAGGAAGGGAGAAATGGCTGCACCCCCATAGAGTTGTCATGCCACACGACCTTAGCTGTAGGGTCTGGGGCCTGAGAGTGAACAATAAAGTCTTCCTCCAAACCAGTGCTCTGCATCCTTCTTCTATCCACCCTCTCCCAATCTGTCCTACTCAAGGGTCTGACAGCCTAACTGCTTCATTTGGTAATAATGAAATGAGAAACAGTAGCCAAGTGAGTTCTCTGACCATTCCTCACCTCTGACTTCAGGCCCCGCTGTTCAGATCCTACTTACCCCACCTCAACTCATGACCACCCTGATCTAGCCTGACAAATTGGCCCTTGCCACCACAGAAGGCAAAAGGGGAGTCTGTTCCCTTCAACATTCTAGCCATATCCCCACCCAGTCCTGGTCCCTTCTTCATCCGGTGCTGTCTATACAACCTTTTCTTCTGGGAGTTTCCAGAAATTGACTAGACAGTGTTGTCTGGGGAGGAATACTGGAATGAGAAATCAGGCAATGGGGACAAGGACAAATTAAGTGTGTTAACTCACAAACTCATTCTGGAGTTAAGAGAGCCACTGAGGCTACACCAATCTAGTATCCAAACTCTGGCAGCAGAAGGATTGAGGAGAAGGGAGGAGCTCATAGGGGTGGAGGCAAAGAGTTTAGCCCCACTTTTACCCCAAGCAGGATTTAAAAAAAAAAAAAAATTGCCATGGAGTTGATTCTAACTCATGGTGATCCCACGTGTATTAGAATGACACTCTATAGGATTCTCAATGGCTGGTTTTCTGTTTTTGGGTTGTTTTTTTTAAAATTAGATTGCCAGGCCTTTCTTCCAAAGTGCCTCTGGATTGACTCAACCCTCCAGCCTTTTGGTTAGTAGTTGAGTGTGTTAACCATTTGCACCACCAACCTTCCAGGAAGGATGTTGGAGTGAAAAGAGCACCTGCCTGAGAGCAGACATGAGCTCTGATACCAGTTCTGCAGCTGAAAGCCTCAGTAATTACAAGAAGAAGGTTTCACTTTGGATCCAGAGAGCTTTTCAGGCCTGAAGATTATATTCTAAGCCTCAAGGGCAAACTGACCAGCCTGATGGGGCCAGTGGTTCCTCCAGTCTCTGGTCAGTAGTTGAGCACTCAAGCCAGCAAAGAATTTCACCCCTCTCTGCACAATCTGCAGCCAACCTGATGCCCCAGCTCCTCAGGGATGCTGCTACTTCCCATGTCAGGCTGCCTCAAGAGCATCTAGTGACTCTTCTGCCATCTCGTCCTATCCTCTGGCCTGAGAGTGTCACCATAAAGTCCCTTCCCAGGCCAATGTGCGTCTTGTGAAGACCAGAGGCCCAGCAGAGAGAAGACTCCAACAGAACTAGAATTTGGGGATCTGGACCAAGATTAGTAGGAGTCTATCCCTCCATTTCATTGATGAAGAAGCTGAGCATAGAATAAAGAAGGGACTAGCCTGAAGTCACACTGTAGTAGAAGTGTTCAAAAGAGTGAAGTGAGACAAAAGGGCTTGAATCTCATGTTCTCTACCAGTGCAAATCCCAACATGATGCTGAGAATGAAAAAATGGAAGATCAGATTTCAGCTTTCCCCCACTACCTGGTTGTAACCAGGTCCTAGCCTGCCTGCAGTTGACCTGGGCAGGCCCCTGCTCCAAGAGCTCAGAGGCTTCTACTATGGATACAGTGATTTAAAGACTCACACTAGAGGGCATGAGGATGTTTCCAGGAATCAGTCCAGGCTGTAAGCTTGGGTAACAGAGTTTAGAAACCCTGAGAATTCCCTTCTATACCTGCCTTGGGGACTTGACACCTGGGAACACTTACCTCCTGACAACACTTCTACCTCCACCCTCCTGTTTGGGGAACAGCCACTGTCTTTATCTCCTTCTCCATGCAGCTTAAACCCACTGCCATTGAGTCAGTTCTGACTCATAGCCACCCTCATTGGGTTTCCAAGCCTTATGGAAGTAAATTGTCTCATCTTCCTCCCACAGAGCAGCTGGTGGGTCTGAACTTCTAGTTAGCAGCCAAATATCTTACCCACTATGGCATCAGAACTCCTTCCATGCAGCTAGTAAAGCAAAAAGGAACCAGCTTGGGAGATGAGAGACCTGTATTCTATTACTGGCTTTGCCAGGACTACATGCTTCTGGCAGATGCTCCCCCAACTCCCCTCTGCCCACCACTACTTACCACTATGTGCTGAACATACCTGCTCATGACTGTCTCCCTTACTGGACTGAAAAGTCCAAGAGAGGGAAGTCCAAAGCATCTGTTGAGTTCTGTACTTTATTCCCAGCACGTAGAATAGTGCCTGATGCATAGTAGGTGCTCAACGAATATCGAATGTATAAATGTTTTGCAATTTCCTACATGTTATGTGTTCTCTTCTTAGGGGAAGGTGTGGGGAAGGAGGGAGAAAGAGAGAGGGTTTGAAACCAGCAAACAGAAGGCTCCTGGATTTTCAGTATAGACTTCCAAACAGGAAGGTAAAGGGCAGCAAGTTTATGGGAATCTGAAGCCCCATCCCACACTTTGTTTAATCAGAGTAGTTCTGTTAACGTCCCCACTGTTAATCTGCCACACTCTGGAAGCTTCTTTTGAAGAATGAGATCAGTCTTGAAAAAGCTAGAAAATTACTGATTTAACACAATCTGTGTGAACTCTATCCTTGAATCATTCTCCCCAGCACGCCTGTCAAATGGTTGAACTACTTAAGAAAAGAGAGCTTCCTCCATTGGCACTGACATTTAAGAAAGTCTTTCATTACACTGATACCATCAAAAGGAATAACTCACGTGTCATTGGAATTCCAGAACAGGAAGAGAAAAACAAAACCACTGAGAAAATTGTCCAAGATTTGCTGGAGGAAAACTTCCCTGAAATGATGAAAGATGAGAATATCTCCATCCAAGAAGTCCAACGAACCCCAAACAGGATAGACCCCAAAAGAAAATCACCAAGACACATCATCATCAAA